TAGTTGGGGGGACCACCGCGGCGCGGCGCTTTGCTCGCCTGGCGCTCTCTCGAGCGAGATAGTGTAACTCGAACATTCCAGCTTTTCACGCATGTCAAGTGACTGCCCTCACCCCCCCCCCCCCCCCCCCCCTAGACTGCCTACAGTCCCCCTGGCTCACGGATTTCCCGAAGTACGCAAAGATGCCAGGCGAGCAAAGCGCCGCGCCGCCGCGTGGTCCCCCCCAACTAAGTTAGCACCTTTATTATTCGTTCATCGTTATGATTATTCTTGCTTATATTTACTCAATAAACATGGTATGATAAAGCGATGGACCTCGAAGAACCACCAAATCCCACTTGGAAGAATTAATTATCACTTTCACTGCCTCTTTATAGAAACCAATATTAAGTAGTCATAATAACATCTGTTATCAACATTGAGTCTTGCGGACAAACGAATCACCAAGGCTTCAACGGCTTCGCCCCCTAATGCTTTCCTTTATCGGTTTAATGCCGGCTCGATTAAGACTCCATGATCCCTCAGTAACCATGAAAGCGCTCTAGCGCTAATCATTTAAAGATGAGCGCTAAAACATTTACCGAGATTTCAGGATAGTTTAATGAGTCGACCCTACTTTTATGAGCGCAGCAAAGTATTAGGTTGATGCATAATTATTGCGGCTTTTTTCGCGCGTTCTTTTCTCGAGAAGATTGGCGTTTGAGTTTCTGTTTTTTTTTCATGAGAATATTCTTCTTTCTTCCATTAACAGAAATGCTTATCGGAAATTGTCCTCATCTTCACCACACATGCTTACTACTTCTATAAATGTTAGAAGGCGGCGGGGCCATTCCGCGATCTCATCAAACTTCTCAGCGAGGGAGCAATTAGCAAAACCCAAGACGAAACGAAGGTGTTTCTTGACGGATTTCTCCGCTTTTTCGCCATTGGCGTACCGTTGAGCACTCCCCACGTCTCCTATAAACCGCTCCAGAATCTATCGTAATTGCTGCCTCTCAGTGAAATCACCCACCATGCAGTTATAGGCGATGGCACATGGTGTGTTTGAGTAGCAGACGTTGGTGACGAGCCAGGCTAGCGATATCATGGCGATAAGTGGAGCCGTGAATATTGGAAAATACTGTAAATTGACAGGTAGATAAAAAGCCTAGGTCTTCGATTAAGGGTTACCCAACAAATCACCTGCGCATATTGCCGATTCTTCTCGGGCCATATCAACGATTCGCCACACCTATTGTAGCGACAGTAAATTCCGGACCAATAGAAGAGAAATATTGAGAGCACCTGGAATGAATTTGTAAAACTATCTTAGAATTGACACAGTACCTCTATTATTTCAATGGCTAGTGACAAGAGCGCACTCGCTACTATTTATCAGCCGAATAGCTCTTAAGCTATCTATGTCATTAAAAACTCCATTCCATGATGCCACTGGTTACTGCTCTCCTGCTATATCCAAGGTGGGCAAAAAATACGGTAGCAAGAAGTTGCCGCTGTCAGTTTTCAATTTTAAGGACAAGGAGTTCTTGATGTATATTCTATGTAATTATTCTAACAATTCACTGTCCTCTCTTTGATTTGTTCACGTGAAATATATCAACTCCGGAATGGACAGTCTTTTAGCTCTCCGAGAAACAATCACTACCCCACTCCGACGAGCTGTTTGATTGTGTTGCATTGCACGACAATTCAGAAGCTCTTTGAAACTTCTCTCAACCACCATTACAAAGTTTAATAGGCTATGTTACAACATCAATAGGCCTGGACCTGAATGGATTGCTTGCGCGACTCCACGAGTAATATCTCGAAGAAACATGCGAAGAAGCGCTGGGTGCCAACTCGCTCATCCCGCCGTTTATTTGCTGAAACTGTTGTCATTCGAAAAGTATGGGTTTCCGCTAACATTAACTGGAATGTTCTGCAAGCATGAAAATGTGTAACATCTTACCCACGTGAGCAGACTAGAAAGCAAATGTGTTGAAAGGCATTGTCTCGATTCCGTAATGAACTTAATTTACCGATGTTCCCCTAAGGAGAGGATATTCTGCTGTTGGACCAGTCTTGAATAAGAAGGTCAACCAGGCCCAATGCTATGAACATTCAATACCAGGGTCATCAGAGTAGAACACGATTCAAGAAAGCCGCGGGCTACTGCTCTCAAATATAAACTGTATACAAATCTCTCAACTCCCTTGTATCGTTGATTTCAGAGCTACAAAGTTCCTTACAGGACAACACATTTAGTGCACGTCTCAAAGATACGAGACCACCCACAATGCACAGACTGTCCAAAAATGATGCCAACCGAATATCGTGGAATTCATCATATTAGAGAAGTGGCAACATAGTTCTCCATACTCAAGTCCTATGGAATGCTCTGTATTAAGTGTGCTGATGACAAAGCATTGATGTAGGCATAATATAGAAACATCGACGGGTTGAGCAGTCGCTCTTGAGCCTTGGATCTACTCCATAACACCCAACACAACAGGGTCGATGACGTCCTAAGAAGTCTTCGTTTAATCATCAACGCAGAAAGAAGCCACTTAAACGACCAATATTCTTTCCTATTCCATAACTTTCTACCAATATGATAGAGTTGTTAATTTGGACTTCTCGGTGACTTTGCTTTTTGTCTCAACCTTGAACCGCATTTAGGCCTCAGAAGACGACGATTTTGTCGAAACGTTAGGCCAAACTAATAAATGTTCCACCTATTAACCTCGTACGGCACAAACAACTAACACAAATGTTGATAGATTTATGTATTAAGGTAGGCATTTTATACTGAACTGAAAATCTAATATAGAAAAGGCCTCTTAGTATTAGTGGATCGATATTGCAATTCATTTATAAGACTGCAAAAGAGAACGCAAAATTCAATCCCTGAAAACTGAGCTGGATACATTAGAAGGCTTTAATTCACGCATCAAGTGCAATTTGCCTCTGAAGCGAATATTGCACTTCTAACGCTTCATATTGCTACGGTATCGATCTTGGTAATGAAGCCTTTGTGTCCGTAGCCTGCATTTTCTGAGAAACTATAAAATTTGAAAAAGTACAATAGCTCCAGATTTCTAATAACGCCAGTCTACTAGAAACCAAATGAATAGAAATCACGGAATTGAGAACTTGTTTTGCCACCACATTCTTTTGCAGCTTTCAGCAGCCATTCTGCTTGCGCGTGTGCTCGCAGAAGGTGCCGTGGAAATCAAGTCGCTGTGGACGCGATTTTAAGGTCGATCACCAAGATGTGACCATAAGCTGTTGTTCCCGAAAACAAAATTAGACGACGAAGTGGATCTGAATAAAACGAAAGAAAACTAAATAATAGAAATTCTGATAACAATAGCCTCCTTTCTCAGGCGATAGACGAATTCACGTGACTGCAGGTAAAACATTAGAGGATTCCGAAAATTTATGAGGTCGATAAACAGGAAGCATACCAAGTCGACAGTCAGCTCCTCCCCAAGGTGCAAGGTGATGAGCGTTGTTCCCACAATAGTATGCCCTCGCCGCCTAATAGGGCCCTATGCCGGCTTAAGCCGTTTGGCACAGTAAGCACCCGAACTGAGCGTAAATTACGGTGTTCCTGCCGCACGTGCAATGCGCAATGCATTGGCGTGCTCTTCGGGGTACAAGATTATAAGTTAAGGAACATAGGATGTATACCGTAACCCACGTTTGCGTCAGAGCGCGGTTGCAGGCTTTCCAGTGCACAATGCCAGCACTAGTGTGAGAGCGGTCAACGACGCCGCCCCTGCTGTTCGGGGCAGCGAACCCAAAAATGGAGCGACGTCGCAGCGTTCGCCTCGCCGCTTGCGCGACGAAGCCGAACACCGTTGCAGCGTTACACGATCCGCCGCTTGCGCGACGAAAGCGCGGACACCTGCTCGACGCATTCTCTCTTCGTTGAGAGGGTGCAGAGAAGACGAGAAAATCGATGACACGTGAGAATGCGCGCCCCAGTGCAACGTCGAGAAGGTTACGGTATACACCCTATGTTCCTGAACTTATAATCTTGTAGAACTTCGTATAGCTTTACGTGATCAAACCAAACGCTACCCCAGCTCTCCGGAGCCAGCAAATCAGCCAAAATAGACACTCGCTAGCGGGGTGGCCTTTCGCCCGCGCAGGCCAAGAGGTCATCCTATTGGAATTTGTCCAACGTACGGTTGAAATCCCTGTCCCGGCCGCCCCATGCTAAAGCGAGGCCAACCTGACATGCGTGCCATCCTCCACCTCCTACATGAACGGCGCTCAGTATAGTTGTATAGTTGGCGAGTTTGCTCGACGCATTCTCTCTCGTTGAGAGAGCGCAGAGAAAACGAGAAGGGGAGGCGAGCACGCTTCAGCGCGTCAATGCGTCGCGCATTGTACGTGACTACAGCAGAAACATCATAATGCACGCTCACTTCGGGTGCTCACCATGTCCAAACGGCTTGATCACACTATGCCCTACGCCGTTCGCGCCGCTGCATGTCTAAACTCTCACGATCTGACTCCACTTTTTGACTTTTTTGACTCTCTTTTCTCTGCACCTCTTCACCACTAAATTCCTCCACCAGAGGTATGTAATGGGCTGACTTTTCATTGTAAACGACGGGCTTTGAGTGGCACTGGGCGCCGAGGCAAGAGAATAGACACCGAAACGAGAGAGTATAGAAAACGAGTGAGTCGCAGACACCAAACCGCTCGCAACTGAACGTATTGTTGCTTGGATACGCATTTCTGTAAGTCGTAGGTCACTCGACCCACGTGTTTGTCTCGAAGACAGCGCCAGTAGCGCGTTTGCGGGCCCAGCTTCCTTATTTGCAGGAAAGATTGTGTACCCTCAATCTGAGCGCTGAACTAGCCCGTCAAGAAGGGCACCTTCCAGCGTCCGCTCGATGCCTTTAGAAGCAATTCTGGAATCGTTAAAAAAGTTTACAAACTTTCTCAGAAATGTTTTCCCAAACTCGTAATATGCTTAATGTGAGCAAGTACTTCTTCAGAGGGCATTCCACACCTTTATTTCATTTATCACCTTTTATGGTGTGTAAAAAATTATTAGTTACGATTCTGAGAGCGATTTCAGATAGCGAGTATTGCCGACGATGGGAGGGTCACGCCCTATGCGCGAATGGTTTCGCGTCTGTAAAATCGGCTTCAATCTTGACTCAATGAAGCGGTGCTGGGTAGATATGTTGCACGACGACATGGAGTCAGTTGTTCTCCACCCTGATCAAGAATTCAGTCTGAAAAAGTGACGTCAATATCGAGAAATCAGGACCACCGAGCGGGACTAACGCTAAACGATAGAAAGAAGTCGACAAAGGCGTGCGTAAGGCCCTACCACACGGCGTGACAAGGTCCGGGATCAGGGAC